GTATATATAATGTTTTTATTTTGCAAATGAAATGTGTCCTAATAAACACTTCAACAATGATAACATCAAAGTTATGTCATATAAAACATTCAAATGTAGTATTTGAATACACAGTATAGTATATAATGCTCATTTATAGAGTTAGCAGTTTTCTTGGTAGGAATCTTTTTATTATATATGGTGTATGCACTTCTAACCATATGCAGTGCGCCTATAGTAGCTGATGCCTTATATATGAAAGTAGCCTATAGGCATCATGTATACTGTACATACGAAATTATACCAGAAACAGAAAACATTGTGAATGTATTTTATACCTTTGGTTCCATAGATGCTGTTCATGCCTGCAGAAGGACTGTCATTTAATGAACGTCCAGAAGAGGGCTGAAAGGATTGTCGTCCTGCTCCTGCAAAGTATAAGCAAGGTAAGAATGCGCACAATAATAACAAACATTAAAATCATAATCTTTATTAGACAGTACATAATCATACTGTATAACCTAATTTAAGAAATAGAGAAATCAGTGTAAAAAAGACAGATTATGCAAACTCCCTATTTCCTTCCAGACGTTGCTACAGTTGACATGAGCACTAGGTTTATAGCCATCCCCTTACCTTTTTCATCAGTTAGTCATCTTTCCTCACATAACATCTATGTACAGCTATCTAAGTAGCTGTGGAGATTGTAAAACATGTAAATCCCGGGGAATTAGTCGTTTCTGAGATGCTTTAACCTTAACACCTGGTCCCCACAATAGATGCACTTGTAGCTTAGATCATACATCTTTAGTTTTAGAATGTTGTTTGAACAAGTGAACCTCTTAACCATGTCCCCATGTCTTATGGATTAAGTTGCAGCCCCATGAATCCCTGTTTTTCTATATTTTTTTTACAATTAGGTAAACTGAATAAAGTGGCCGCTGAGTGTACAGCATAGTCCTCATATGACATATGCTATCAATATCTTTTCATATTTAATCTGAAATATCGTAAACGTGCACTGTAATCGTATGATCACCTTTTCCACTTCAGAGTGGTTAAATGTGATTATTCTGCTTATGTCAAATTATTTATAATCTGAAGGCCAAAATTAAAATGTACTCATCACTATTTAGGCTTACTATACATTGTGATTTACTCTTTGCTTTCATATTGAGTTTTCTCTCTCCATCTCTCACACTTTCTGACTTGCTCTCTTATGGTTGCCACTTTGTATAATTTGGTTCTTTTATGTAAAACTTCCTATGTGAAATTATAAGCGATACATAGCGTGTAATAAATGACCAGTGGCACCAAGGCCGCTTGGGATTAAAATATAAAACAAGTTCCGAAATACATATGTTTAGTATACTTTTGCTCAGAAGAAAAAAACAGCAGTGATAATAATGCTAGTTAGTACCTTTCACATTAAAGAGAGAGCTGAACCTTCCATATGATTCATTTGGCTGTGCCCAGTCAGTTTGAAGATCCTTCATCATGTATCTGTTCTCCACTACAACACATGAAACAACATGTTTAAGCCAAGGAAGAACAGTAAATTGTGATAAAAGGCTACCATTTACAGTCTACAATGATTTCATTGTTGATATGTCATCTGCTCTGCAACCACTCCTCATTTCTATTAATGTATATTATCTTTTATTAATGCTAGAAAAAAAACATAGTATTCATTAACGTTAATGTTTGCAAATAAAATATTGCTAATCATAAAAATATTGTGATTTATGTTTGGACTATTTATAGTGTATAACTTAAAGTGGACCTTGCATAAAAATGCAGGGTCCACTTATCTGGGAGACCCCACTCCTAAAATAAAGTACAGTGATTAAAAACCAGACCCTTGCTTCTGGCTGATTCCTGTAAGAGCCAGTGACATAATTGAACCTCTCAATTCATCCAGAATTTACTACTGCACATTGCGGGAACACATACTCAGATTAGAGGAAGTGGCAGAGAGCTGGGGTCTGAGGTATTTTTTTTCCTTATTTTCCTCTAACATTTACTGGTTTTTTTTAGCTTTCAATTAGTGTATTTTATTTTAGTGGACTACTAGCTAGGCACACTTGCATTTTCATTCAAGGAACATTTTAAAACTGAGCTCCATGAAAATGAAATTCACAGTTGAAATAAATGTACTGTATGCATCTGTTAATGTTTTTCCTGCCAAAGGTTTTGTTTTGTTATTTATCCCATATTTGATCCAAGCACCTAGCCCAGCTACTAAAACTCTCCGTGTGTACACTGCAGTTAAGCAATAAAGTCTGGTCTATAGCACACTATAGCCTTTAATTGGACAAACAAGGAGCAGCTAAAGAAGGCTGAAGTACTTATGTTAGTTCTATCTAAAAATGTATTTAAGGATTTTAAAATATACATAACTAATGTTATATATATATATAGTCAGATTTAATAGGCTCCTGTGAAAAAAAGTGAGCACACCCTTGCCCCTTTTAGAAGAAATTACTTTTTTGTAGGCATTTTGTATAACTGCCCACCAGGCTCTGACATTGAGATTAACATTTTTGACTACATCTTCATGCAAAACTCCTTCAGTTCCAAGATTTTTTGTTTTTCCATGCATGAACTGTCTCTTCCAAAATCCCCCACCGCATTTCAATAGGAATAAAATCAGGGCTTTGGGTAGGGTATTCCATAATCTCTATTTCCATCTTTCTGAGCCATTCTTTGTTGGATTTGCTAGCATGCTTCTGATTGATATCATGTTTAAAGACCCATTTGTGGTCCAGCTTCAACGTTTGGGCAGCTGGCTTCACATTCTCATCAAGCACACATTGATATGATGCAGAATGTAAAGTTGACGAGCTGTGCGAGCTGCCTAGGCCTTGGAGCAGCAAAGCAATCCCAAACCATAACATTTTCACAGCCATTCTGCACAGATGTTATGAGGTTCTATTCCTGAACTACTGTCTTTGGTTTGCAGGAAATATGTCTACTTTTACTGTAACCAAAAAACTGTATCTTTGATTAAGCAGTCTTCAGAACACTGTTCTGAAAAGGAGGCCTGATTTTTGCCTGTAGGTCCCATGACAAACTGTAATCTCACTCTAATGAATTTTTTGGACAGCAAAAGCTTTTTATTAACACACGTCTCATGTAGAATAAATTGATGCAATCTTTTTCAGATTGTAGATGCATGCACTTTGACTCCAACTGTTGCAAGAGTTACCTAAACACCCCATTGGTTACATTTTCGGGGGTTTTGGAGACTTTGTTTTGCATCACACCGTCAGCTCTTGGGCTGAATTTTCTAGGTTGGTCAGTCCTAGACAAGTTAGCAGTCATTTTAATCTACACCACAGAATATTTTCCTTACAGTACAATAATTGATTTCAACATTTTTTGCCATTTTTTAAATCTATTGCCAGACTCATAGCCTTCTTTTTGAGAGTCTTTGAAAGCTCTATTGATCTTGGCATGATGACACCACACAAATCAAAAGCAAAGTGAATTCAAGAGCCTAGATATCGGAAGTTTAAATAAATACTACTTGCAAACTCAATAAGGAGTCTCTAATAAGTGGCATCTAATCTGGAACACCTGATTGTCATTTCATGGATGTAAAAGAGGTAAATATAGGGATGTACTTACTTGTCCTATATGATACATCTACATTTTGAGCCATTTAGATTAAGCAAATGTATACATCATGTCATCATTATGTGTAATTTGTTCACGTATATATATCACCTTTATCAATATGCACTATTTGAATCAAGAACTAATGTTTGCCTGTTCAAATATGTGTAAAAGGTCAACAATTTCCATGGGGTCTACTTAGGTTTGCACATGACTGCATGACAATGCTTTACAATGACAAAATAACTGCTAAAAGCATGACAAACTAGTCATTTCTTCACTTCATGTTGTATCTCCAAGACAGGCAGTGAAGAAAAAAATATCCAAGATGGGACATTGGAGAAGAGGAAAAATTAACTGATAGGATGCCACCATCCTATCTAAAACTAAAATGATAAGTTTTGACTACGCAGTAAGATGTGCACAGCTGGGTGGTTCATTGGGGTTTTGAAGCCAGTTTTGAGGTGTTTCTTTTCACTTCTTTTTGTTTCCTGTTGTGCAGTAGAGGTTCACTAGTATGCATGAAAAACCAACCAGTTGGTTTAAACATGCTGTTTCATTAAAACTTAAAGAATTTAGGTCCCTGGAAGGTCAGCAGTGCAAAAAGACATAATTATGACTGGGAACATACTGACAATTGAAAAATAATATTCCCAGTAATGTAACAGAACCATGTTTGTGTTGTTACACATTTTTTTTACTGCTGGATCCTCACCATAAATACCACAAACAAACAAAAGTCTAGCAGCTGCTTTATCTCAATTCTGTCTTTTTTATATGATAAATACTAATTTTGTGATTACTAAATTATGTATATCAGAACATTTTCAATGGTAGGTTAGTAAAAGGTAATTATATAATGTTACTAAATGTTTCTCTTGCATGAATTATACATTATCATCAAGCACATTACTAATGTGATGGCAACGCAACAGCAAGTAAGGATTGTGATCTATAATGTATTCTGCCTTTGCAATAATATTGTATCTGTAATTCATCATTTAATCTAAGGGGGAATAAATGTTTTTAACAAGTGCCAGGATATGTGTTAACAAAACCACATACAAGTTTGGTGAATCTTTCAAAAGATTTACTGGGGCTTAGTAGGTAAAACAAAGGTTGAGGTGTTTTGGGGTAAATGCACCCCCTTCATCAGGACTATAAAACAACAGAATACAGCACAGTTGTGGTTATTTTCCCCTAGTTGTCATTTTTCATTATCGTTGTTCTATTGTGGTTTCTTTTATGGACCCTTTTATGATTTTCTCCTCCGTCCTTCCGAATGATGAAATTTAGTATGTGAAATCTTGTAATGTATAACAACCCTTTCAATGTCAAATGCTAACATTTTAAAGCAAAAAGCATTAATAAAAAAAAAATGACTGCTTCTCAGCGTTATAGCCAAGGTTTTATATAACCCAGACACTGACACTCAAACAGTGCAGTGCTGGGCAGGAAGGGGTGTCAACAACAGCAGCAGGAATATTTTGTGGGGGGGTATGTGATAGAATGAGACGTGAATTCCTTCTGTTGTAAGAAAGCTTTTCTGTGCTACACACTGATTCAGCTTGAGAACTTTTTGATTCATTGAATTCCTTCACATTATAACCTATAGGGTCAGGGCTGTATTTCCCACAAGGCCACCGAGCCCTGGCCTCGGGGAAACAGGGAGTAGAGGGGCAGCACATCTGCCAGGTATGTATTTCAGGCATCCCAACCTGAAATAATTAATTTCAGGGAGGTGCCCTTCTCATTTCAGGG